CGAGGACCTCAAGCCCGAGAGGCAGCATCTCAGACAATGCTGAGATACTGTTTCGAAGAGGCGAGGGGGTGTCAGGATGTATATTAGGAGTTTTTGCAACAAAAGACCAGGTAGTGGGAACATCAAACGATTACTGTTAATCAAAGAAAACCAGACATCTCAAGTTAATGAAATTCGCACTTTTCTATGTATGGGACGATGCAAAGTCTGGGCTCACTGGCATCATTCCTTTGATGTGCACCTCGGCTGTCTGGGGCCAGTATCCTGCGTTTTCACATCCTGAGTCACTTCAGGTGCACTGTCGTCAGGGGTGGCTGCAGCAGTTGACTGCTAGATGGTGGGCATCCTGTCCCATACTGAGTTTCCTCAGGGCTCACCTGGGGAGGCTGTAATGTGATGGCTTGACGGCTGCAACATCCTTTGTTTACTGATATGGCAGCAGTATTTTAGTTCACAGAGGTCTGCCTGCATTACCTGTGGAGCTGCATGGAGTAAAGGGAAAAAAACATTCACTCTCTTTGTTTCCCACCCCCAGGGTAAAGCCACCAGCTGCTAAGCATACGTCTAGCATGAGACTCTTGCCAGGGCTCACATACCTAGGAAGGTACACTCTGGACCCAGTAAAAAATCAGAGATGGTCTGACTCTCACAAGAAACCCCGGGCTAGGGGAGAAACAACTGGATACCAATAGCACGTTGCAGGGTGCAGTGGAGGGAACCTTGACGTCTTCCAGTAATCCCAGACCCTCCCCTGCCCAACACGGCCAGCCTCAGTCAGAGCCCAAGGAACTTGGGTTGGTAGGATCCAAATTTAACCCTGCAAGTTTTTATTTTGTGCAAGCGTGTAAAGTTTGCTGCAGGAGGTTGAAACTGAGCAAACTAGTTCTGTTTCACAGTCGAGTCGATGGGCCAAGACCAGCACTCGTGGACCCGCAGTAACAGGAGCGCACGTGCACAGAGAGGAAGGAGCAGACACGGTGCTGTGTGAGATCAGAGGAGGGAGGCGGTCCCTCTGGAGAGTGAGAAATCAGGGAAAGCTTCTCGGGAGAGGTGGCAAGCAGGGTGCCTTTTCAGATCTACATGGAGCTTCACAGTTTGTAAGACTTTTGCATGCATTACTCTGATATACAATGTTACGGTAACAAATGTTGGTGAAGTGGAGAAACAAGCAATAGCCCGCTGCTGAGAGCATAAATGGAGCATAAATGCGTGTAATGCACTGGGAAGCAACCCGACACCGTCAGATTTCAAAATTCTAGGAATTTATGCTGCAGACACACTGACACATATGGGCGGATGGGCGTGAACAAGAGACCCACTCTCACAATGTTCCTAGTAGTCAGAGACTGAAAACAACGCAAGTGTTCATCCCTAGAGATCAGATTGTGAATTACAGGACATCCGAGTCATGGAACCCCGTGCCACCATCAAAAAGAATAAGGTAGCTCCGTATGTGTTGTCATGAAAACAATCTCTAAAATGTAATTTTAAGTAAGACATAAAGCAAGGCAAAGAGTGGAATGTACAATATATTCTCATTTGTGTAACAATTGGGCACGTGTTTATGGAGGAACAGGAAATTTCCAGAAGGACACACAAAAAAACTGTTAACAGTGGTTATTTCTGGGGAAGTAGGGTGAGGGTCTGGAGTGGGAGATGAACTGTGAAAACATTTTCAGTGATTGTGAAATGGATCGTATAGTTCGAAGGGTACACTGAACGTATGTGCTATCTGAAAAGTCATTACAAAACAGAGCAGACTGAACGCATTTTGTGTAATAAATTCTTGTACTCAGAATTTAATAGCATTTGCATATAGTAATATGTCACTTTTCCTGTTTAAAACAACCTCTGTGAGGCAGACAGAAGTATCTTTTCCCATCCCAGCTTCTCAGGACTGGCAGGGGCTGGGTGCTTGGCGGGAAGGCCTGGCAGTCTGCGGGGGCGGCCAGGAGAGAGGCAATGCTGATGGCGGGGTGGAGGCTGGAGGAGGTGGGGCAGGAGCCCCGAGCCAGGTGCTGAGCTGGGGTTGCCAGGCCAGGTGTGGAGTTTGCTAGCTTCCGAGGACTGATCCAGGGTTTTGGGGAGTGACACCATGCAAGACTTACAAGGAGGAACTAAAATCAAGTTGACATGTACACGCTGCTGTATATGAAATAGGTAATCAACAAGGACCTACTGCGGAGCACAGGGACCCTACTCAGTACTCTGTACTGACCTATATGGGAAGAGAACTTGAAAAAGAATAGATACATGTATGTGTACCAACTGCATCACTTTGCTGTACACCTGAAACTAACACAACATTGTTCATCAACTCTACTCCAATATAAAATAAAAATTAAAAAAAAAATCAGACGCTCCGACGGTCAGCAGGTCCATCGGCCAACCAGAGTAGCCCAGTTGAGGTCGGGGGGAGGGGCTGGTTTTCCCGGCTGGACTCCAAGAGCAGCGAGGGCGGCACCTGCTGACCCTGCGCGGGGGCGTCCTGTCCCCATTTTACAGCCGAGGAGACTGAGTCCCACGGAGAGCAGGTACCTTGCTCGGGGCCACACGGCTGGTACTTGGCAGGGTGCGGGATCGGACTCCACGTTGCCTGGTTACGAAACCCGTGCAGCCCTTCCTGCGTCCCGTTTTACTGTCCCTTTGACGCCCACTAGTGGTCTGGTGGACTTGCCTGCCTCTCGCTCTGGGAGCTGGTGACGCTGGCCCCGCCTCCGAGACGGGTGTGGAGGGAGGGGAGGCCAAGGTGGATACACGTGACTCTGGAGGCCCCTAGCCTTCTGGTCCCTTCACCTGGCCTCTGTCAGTCATGGGGCCTCCCCGTGCGTGAGGAAGCTGCAGGGCAGGGGGGCAGCGTCTGAGAGTGAGTGGAAGCCTCCCCGAGCGCGGCCTGTGGGGCGTGTGGGCTTGGGAGTCAGAGCCCTGGGCCTCCCTTGGCTACTCTCTAACCTCGTGGGCCTCAGAGTGGCGTTGCGCGTGCCCCAGCTTTGCTGGGTGTCTGCACGCGGCTTCTGAGGAACGGGAGGCGCTGATGGCGGCGCTCCCCTCCTGCCTCCATGGATCACACCAGTTTTATTTTTCAGTCTAGCACGTCCTACTGATGAGCGCCATTTCCTGATGTCTGACACAGGCTCCAGAGCAAGATTTGGCTAGAATGCTAAAAAAAAAAGAAAGGAGGAAAGAAAGAAAAAGAGGAAGGGAGAAAGAAGGAAAGAGGGAGAGAGAGAGAGAGAAAGAAAGAAAAAGAAAGAGAAAAGAAAGAAAAAGAGAAAAGGAAGGACGGACGGAAAGAAAGAAGGAAAAAAAGAGAAACAGTAGATGCTGCAGGGTGGCCTGGGTTCTGGACCATGACCCCTGGATTTGTACAAAGACACGAGGGATGCCAGCCGTCCTCCCGAGTCTGCAGAACTGGTGAGAAGCGTGGCCATCTTCACAGTCTCGATTCGGCTGTGTGCTGGCCGGGATGGCGGTCAGGTTTGGTCACAGGGCCTTATTTGTTTTGGTGGAGCCACAGGCTGTGATAGAGGCCTGCAGGGCCGCCTTCCTTCTCTGAGGGTTTGGTGGGAAGCACCAATGTAATAATCCCGATTTATATCTCTAGCCAACCCCCAAGCACAGCTCCAGTCCCTGACAGAAGTAATTCTCCCTTGAACAGAAACGGGTGGGAAAAGTGCCAGTTTGCGCCTGTGCTGTACATTCTTCTCCTTGACAGGACGGGGCTCCAGGAATATTTCACCTTCATAATGTTGGCCACAGTCGGGGGTTTGCGAAGCTGTCTAAATCCAGTTTATCAGCAGGAATAAATGCCCTCAGACTTAAAAAGTGGGAAGCTGAACTTGGCTCCGTTGGGCTGATGATTTATGGAGAAGCGGAGAGCTGGGAGTGGAGGAGGTGATGGGGGGCTGGGGGAGACAAGGTCCGTGGGGCTCCACTCACAGCCTATAGAAGCAGCGGCGTGTCCTGTAACGAGAGATTGGGTTCCAAGATATATTTCCTCCCGTGAAGGATACGGTGTCTGGCACCCGTCACGTGGTAGGGACAGAGGAACTCCGTAGGGACGCAGCTGCCTTTGGGGTGCTTGGGAGGTGTGGGATGAGCCCGAATTGGGCCCAGGGCTGGGTCTGCGAGAGCTGTGGCCTTGAGGTTGTGCGTTCTGTCCCTGTGGGACCCGCTGCACCTGGGTTTCCTTGTCCTCCTCCTCCTGCAGCTCCTGAAACTCCATTCTCTCCATAAATCATCTCAGACTGATGTCCCCATGGAGTGTCCTGTCCCTCCACAAGGACCACTCCAGGACTTCATGTGGCCCAGTCAGATCAGTGGTTTTCCTCCTTGTACATTTTGCCATGTGTTCTGTCTCTGTGACATCTGTGAGGTGACCCCCAACTTTGTGCAGGTAGAATCTCAAAGAATAAGCAGTGTGCTTGACACTATGGGATCTGGGGTCAGGCTACCTGGGCTGGCATCTCAGCTGTGCTACTTAATAGATGTGTAATTTTTTTTTTTTGGTGGTACGCGGGCCTCTCACCGCTGTGGCCTCTCCCGTTGCGGAGCACAGGCTCCGGACGCACAGGCTCAGCGGCCATGGCTCACGGGCCCAGCCGCTCCGCGGCATGTGGGATCTCCCCGGACCGGGGCACGAACCCGCGTCCCCTGCATCGGCAGGCGGACTCTCAACCACTGCGCCACCAGGGAAGCCCTAGATGTGTAATTTGGGTGAGTTTTCCCCATGCCTCAGTTTTCTCATCTGTAATATGTGGACAGTAATCGTGCAAGTAAACCCATTATTGGGAGAATGAAATTGAACCATAACTTGACTCAGTATCTAGCACGTGGTTTTCGTTCATTACACAGTCTCATCAGAATGATTGGTGATGGAGATGGTGATGATAAGACAAGCATGGCTTTACAGTCACTAAAAAATACTGTGAACAAATGACTGTTTTAAACTGCAAACCTTTTTGCAGCTTCTGTAACTAAGCTGTCTTGCTTTTTTGTAGTTTTTGATAATCAGCACCGGAGTCTCCTCTCAGCTCCTCCCTGGGCACAGCGCAGTGAAAAGAGCGTGAGCTTTGGACTCACATGGGCCTGGAACAGAACTGCGATCATGGATAGTAATCCCTCTGAGCCTCAGTTTCCTCATCTATGAAATGGGAGCAGTGATGGCAACTTCACACAAGTGTGGGCAGAGGGGTTGAGATGACTCGTACAGCCTGCTGACCACAGCAGAGCATGGTGAGTGCCCATCTACTAGTTTCTTTTTCCCTCCCTTGCTCCATAGGTTCTAGGCTCCATCTTTCTAAATCCTCTTTCTCTCTCAAGATTTGTTTGAGACCTGCCTGCTCCATAAACTCTCCCCCAGATAACTGGCCAAATACCCTGTCCGTAATACATTTACAGCCTCACGTCACTGAGTTGGAGATGCCAGGTCGCTTTGACCTGCTGGTCTGGAATGCCACTGCTTTGGGTTTTGTAATCCAAAAAGTTCCCTTCGACTGATTCCCTTCGACTCAGAGAATTTGCCCAGAAAATGTAGATGACACTTGCTTCCCAGCTAGAAGGAAGACTCCTCGCAGGTGGTTTTCTGTCTCACCCGCAGTTGTGGATCTTGCTCCTAGCACAAAGCCTGACAAATAGTGGACCCCAGTACGTGATTGTGGAGGGAAGGAAGGAGCGCATGATGCTCTAGAGAGGCAGGGAGACCCTTTACAGTTCAGAGAGGCCTCCCTCGCCACTCTGGGGGAAGCTCTTACCCAGCACCAGCTGTGTAGTTATGTCAGAGGGGCTCAGGCCTCCAGTGTGGCTCTGTAAACAAGGGGAAAGAACCAAGAGCTTTCTGATTAGCCTGCTGTATTTGGATTGGCATCAGGTTTTCAGTTGGAATGAGAGCCTCGGACGTGAATATCAGAGTCATTCCATATGAGAGGAAGGCTTGTTGGCTCAGCCTCCAACTTTGATGTGGAGCATATGGGCCTGGGGGTGCGACCTCAAGACAGGAGGGGGGAAGGGCACAGAGGGACCGCTTGCGTTTGGAACTTCCCAGGTCCTTCCCCGGTCATTCCCATCGGCCGGGAGTTCTGACTTGCCCGGCATGGTCAGGGGTCAGGAATAGCAGGTTTTAACCTGGGCTCTGTTGCTAGCTAGCTGTGTGACCTTAGGCCAGTCACTTTACCTCTCTGGGCTTCAGTTTCCCCATCTGTAAAATGACAGCATAGATTAGATGATCCCTTCTCATTGTTCTATGACATTTTTTGTTAGTCTGCAGTTTGTTACGTCCTGACCAGGAAGCACTGACATTTCTGATGTATGTTGAAGAGTTGGGGGAATTGGGAGGGGATACTAAGAAATGGAGATGTAAAACACACCCTGAAATGGAATCCAAGGCTCCTTTCCCCAGTCCTTGGCACTGTAACTACTTTGCCCTCTGCTCTTGCCTGTCCTCTACTGACCCCCAAAGATGAGCCTCATGGGAGATGCAGCAGGTGTGGAGGAAGCGCTGGACGTCCCTTAACCTGCGAGCCTTGGTTTTCTCATCCGTGTGGAGACACTGCTGCCACCTCCTTTACTTGGGGGCTTTGAGGTTGGAGCAAAGTCGAACGCGTGCTGAGCCTTGGAACGTGTCAAGCACCACGTAAACGGGAAGAGTGGTGATTGTGGCGTAGAGCTGGCCCCACTGGGAAAAACAGTGCGAACGTCCCTCTGCAGGTGGCCCCTTTCTTCCTCAAAGATGCCTCGGTGCAAAGGATGCTTCTACTGCTGTCGGTCAATGGCCTGCCGTGTTCGGTTTTCCCTGCCCCTTTGAAGCAGAAACGCTGCTGTCTGAGTCTTTATTTCTCTGCACACTTTCCCACTAGTGCAGAAAACGCATTTTCCATGTAATTTGGCTTACCTGGCTTAACGTGTGCGACAGCATCTCCAGGTCTTAGAAGAAGAGCACTTTTCTCTCAATCCCTGGAGCAGACGCCAGGGACATGTGGGGTCAGGATGACTCTCTCCATGACCTGGGCAGAGTTGGAGGTACAGAGGTAAGGGCACTGCTCCCGTGTTTTGGTTTCACCACGTGTTAGTTGAGAGTTGGACGGAACCTCAGGTAACATAGCCCAGCTCCCCCCTTGGACCGGAGAGTGAGGGTCTGGCCTGAAGTTATCAATCGGGCTAGTTTAAAAGGCGCAGGGACCAGGACTCATTCTCTGGACCACTTCTAGTGCTCTTTCTAGGGTACCACGTAGATTCCTTTCTCCTTCTTTCACTCACTCCCCATCCCTCCCCATTCCTCCCTTCACATTTGTCCTTTTGCTCCTTTTTCCGGAGCCCATTTGCTGTAACTCTCAGAATGGAAAAGTTTTCTGAGTTTCTGGGGCAGGCAGCCTGCTTGGTAGGGTTGGGTGACCCCAAAGCAGCTGGGGCATGTTCTCAGGATGTCACATCACCGGGAGTATCCAGGGCACCCGTTCACTACATCAGCTTCTTCCCAGAAATCCTGGAGATGCAGCAGCCAGAGATCCCACCCACAAGCCCCGCGGCTGAGGGGTCAGAGACAGGCCCTGTGAACTGGGTTCTGTGGTGCAGGTGTCCCCGTCCCCCGCCCCCTCCCTCACTGACATGGACGGAGGGCCGGTGTGTGTTGAATGCCTGCAACACAAGTGTGGGCCAAGATCTCCCCCCCGCCCGCACCCTTACCCACCCCTGCCGTCTCGCCTCCCTTTGGGGCATCCCGTCTACTTGGCAGCCGTCTCCAGGGTCACCCAGATAGCGCCGGCCCAAGTTCAAGAGCCCCTTGCGGCCCAGTACCGCGTTGGCTTGTAAGGGGAGCTCACCCTGGGTAGATTTCACCCTCTGGCAACAGCTGACTCTGTATTCAGATGAGAACAATTTTCTTCCCCTTGCACTTTCAACAAGTTCAACCTCAAGGCACCCCCCACCCCCCGCCCCAACCCCACCCCGCTCTGCTGCCCCAAACAAGAAAAGGCAGAAGGAGAAGGTACGGGGTGGGGAGACCACCTGCTCTAATTGAGCCGTCTGCTGAGCCCAGGTTTCCTGGATCTGGGCTGTCTCAGGGCCCAAATGGGCCAGTTTGCGGCTAATGGGAAAGGAGCTGTTTTATTTCCTAATCACCCTTAGAGATAACTGCTCAGTGCATGGGGGAGACGCCTCTGCAGGAGAAGCTGACTGGCAGCCCCGTCGCCATCCTTCCCCTGGGGCTGGGCTGGAGCTGGCTCAGCAGGAAACCCGGCGGGGTTGGGGAGCATCCTGATGGCCTCAGTGCTGTGTCTGTGATGTGTGACGTACCAAAACGAACAAGTCAGGAGGCGGTGTCCCGGCACAGCCTGGACCTCTACACTCCCAGCCAGTGACTGCCCTGGACAGGGGCGATTGGCTCAGAGCCCCTCCCCATGGAGGAGAGGTCTGGAGTGTTGCTGCCTTTGGCCTTCCGTGGTCTAGAGTTTCATGTGAAAAGGCGAGTGTGCGGTGGGCGACGCTCTGATTGGACCTGGCCACTCTTTGGTGTTGAGGTCACGTGAGCGCAGGGCTGGCAGGCTGGGCTCGTTTCATCCCGGGACGTGACAGCCTGGGATCCGATCAGGTTTGGGAGGCTGAAGGGAAGGCAAACGTGGAGGCAGCATGAAAGCCAACCTCGCTGTCATTTGAGAACACTTTCTTCTCCCCAGCTTGGCGTTCAAGGCCCTCGGCTCTCTCCCTGCCAACCTGGTGTCCCTCTCCTTGTCCTGCCCCCAGCCCTCACCCACGTTCATCATTCCACGAACATTCCCGGGACTCCAGGACGCCTTTGCTGTCACTGTGCCTTCAGCTTCCACTGTCCTTCCCTCATGTCCAAACCACAACCGTAAATTGAGACCTTGGTTATACTCCATTTCTTCCCCGACTCCTGGTATGTCCCTCTGAGCGATTCCTCTGGACCTTCTTTATCCCGCCGTTAGAGCGCCGAGAACAGTTGTGTCTGTTGCTCACGAAGGGTCCTGTCTCTCCCTAGCTGGGTTGAGCTCCCTGAGAGAGAGATTTCCTGTTTCCTCATGGCTGTGTCCCCAGCTGGGCTGGCACAGGGCCCTGTGAGTAGGTGTGAGATAATTGCAGGGAGGGATGAGCCATCCTGAAGCGTGCATCACCATACATTTGCATATAGCATACAGCACATTTACATAGCGCGCCATAAAGATGGAGTTCCTGCTCTCGGTAGCTCTTAGCCTTATTGAAGGATAGTTGATTTACAATGTTTTGTTAATTTCTGCTGTATAGCAAAGTGATTCAGTTATACATATGTATAATTCTTTTTTATATTCTTTTCCATTATGTTTTGTCATAGAATATTGAATATATTTCCCTATGCTATACAGTAGGACCTTGTTGTTTATCCATCCTATATATGCTGGTTTGCATCTGCTAACCCCAGATTCCCCGATCTCTTTCTTATTTTCTAGATGAAGAGACTAAGATTCCAACAGGTGACTTGCTGATCGTCATATAAGCAGTTAATGGCACAGTGCGATCTGCTCACTCTGGCCACCTTTTCTTGTGGTTTTTGGGGAAGGCTTTCTATCAATGCTCCTGGGGTTTCCAGGGATAGCTCTGGATTCCCCCACCTTGGCTTGTCAGTCTCACCTGCCGCATTCTAGTTTGAAAATCCTGAGAAGCCTGCTCTAGACCACTCTGTGCCAAATCCTGGAGGGGAACCAACTTAAATTCAAAACACCACTTGCACTGGAACCCCAGGTCCTTAGGCCCTTCCATAAGCACTGCTGGATTCCTAGCTCTGTCTCCTGGGGCATGACCTTGCAATGGATTTTAGACTGTAGTTGACGGGGAGAAAAAAGAAAATTGAAGTTAAAACTAAATGAGAATAGCGTATAGAAACATGGGGAGCACAGATCTGGGAGCTGGGACCCTGGGTTCTAAAAGGAGAAAGATGTTCTTCCTGTGAGTGAGTCATCTGCAGGCTTCCAATGAGTCTCTTGTAGGGACAGCGACTCCTGTGTCCCCAGACTCCCTCCACTAAGAAGAGGAGAAGGTTCTGGACAGGAGCTTTCTCCAGATGTTGGGCTGATCGAGTTGGGCTCAGGCTCAGGGCTGGTGAACGAGGCATCTGAGAACAACCGGCAAGTCCTCAGAACCTCTTTGGCAACTAGATTTAGGAACCCACTGGGGTGAAGGGGAGAGACGCAAATATTCCCCTTCCTCCCTAACTCAACAACCTTTAGGAGCCTCATTTTCAAGATCTG